TTTTTTTTTTTTTTTTGGTCATTAGTCATCCACACTGAGATCCATATTGACGCTCCCCAGTACATTTCATGTTTCACAGTTACAAACTAACATCTACTGTAGCTCTTGTGAACAATTCTGAAATTCTTATAAAAATATCATTTTGGAAGATGGGTTCATTTCTGATGGATCAATGGTTATCAGTCCAGTATCCTGGTGAAAAAAATCACTGAGCATCTGAGACCCTTATAAAATTGATTTGTAGAGCTCTAGTATTTTCAGTTTCCAAAACTACTCACAAGTTTCTGTAATTCTATTTTCTTTGTAGCTTTTTTCTTGTGAAGCATAACAAGAGAGAGCTGAGAAACCACAAAGACTGGGAGGTCAACAGACTGACTAGTTTAAAGCTACACTCAATTTTTTAGGTGAATATAAAATTAATCCTGAGAATATTTTATTTTCAATCATAGTACAGGAGGGCAGCACTGCTGTACTGCTTCCCCCTCCGGCAGGTAAACTTGGACTTGCTGCCTGATATGGAAGCAGAAACAGTATGGTCATCCATTGGCACTCGTGGGGGATTGGTCCTAAGACCCTTTATGTAAATGCATAGTATTTGCATATAACCTACACATACCCTCCAAGTCAATTTTAGATTGCTTACGAAACCCAACATAATGCAATTGCTGTGTGAATCACTAGGAAATGGAGTTGGTTTCCCTCTGTATGATTTTTCAGTTCTTCCCTGCAAGGTAGATTTGATTCAAGATCTTCTACAGTAGAAGAAATCATGTGCAAAACCTAGAAATCAAGTCAAAGAATGGAGCCCTAGAAGACATGCAAAGGTCCTGTACTGCTGGCCTAGAGGCCCTGAGGATCAGGATGGGTTGGTAATAGTAGGGGAGATACCAGGGTGAAGGAGTGGGGAAATCTCATGGAAGACCCAGCCACAGGATTATGAGGTAGTGCTCCCTGGGATGCCTCAAAACTCTTATCCAGCAACCTGAGCAGTAACTTGCACAACAGCCCCTCAAAGGTCCTCACGTACTAAGTAGGAACAGAGCAGAAAGGAACTGCTGACAGAAAGGTAAATGAAACGCAGTCCCTCTCTATTGGCAGAGGAACCCAGAGTTGTACCTTAAATATCTTATTGGATCTCTTTCCTTTAGCCACACAGGGCCATTACGTCATTTCTACCCTACCTTTGCTGTCTTTCCAGATCTCTTTGCCTTCCTATTCATCCCACCCCCTTACAAGAAAAGATCATGCATACTTCTTCTAACTCACACCTCTAACACAAATGCAAGGTTAATCTCAAAAAGAAAATTAATCCCAGCTAAAGCTTCATTTCTGCACATGACATAATAAGCAATGTATCAATTGTCTAATTGGCAACAGGGGTGTCACAAAACACTAAACAGCCATCTACTTTAGCTATCCACCAAACACCAGGGTAGCCACCTAGGACACAAAGGTGAATATTCCATAGGAAGCAAAAGTGATCTGAACTCTAGCTACCTGGAGGCTTTTGGAAACAAAGACGAACTATGGCACTGCAAAAATACTGAGTACAACATGAAAGACAAAGGGTCATGGGCAAGTGAAGAAGGTCACCAAGAGGAGGGCTACAGACTCTGGGGAACTGAAGGGCAGAGAGGATCTGATCACCAGC